GTCTGTCATTGTTGAAGAGTGGAGACAGCTACAGCGGGAGCAAGCGCTTGTGTTGGAGCTGTACGCGTCACTTCCACGTCACGTGCGAGGCATTGTACAGAATAACGGAGCATATAGTGGGTATTGGCTGACGATGAACATTAATCTTATTATTTATTTTGGTGCTGTTTAGTTGCACACGAGGGCGAGCGAGCGATCAACAAATATTTTTAGTTGACTCCCAATGCGTGCTCCCTGGGTGTGGGGACGTGCTACGGTAGGTGAACAAGGTCGCGAGCTGAAGGTGCACTCTTTAAAAGTAATCAACAGTGAACAAATAAAAATGTAGAGCTGAAAAGTGTGATGGAAAGACGCAGCTTATTTTCATTCTCTTTCTTGCAAGCGCACGAATCATGGCCACGCTTGCTTTTTCCCAAATCCTCTCTCTCTTTTCATTCTAACCACATTGACCTTGACAAAAATGATAACGGCAATTTGTTTACGTTGGAGGGGGGGGCTGGGCCCTCCATCCGCTTGACATGGGCGAGCCCGTGACGTCGGCACTAGTTGGAGGGAAAGCCACCAGTCAAGCGCTCAGAAAAAGATGCTGACTCGCCTTGAGTTTCTTGCTCGGCTGTACACGCCCCATTCAAAGCGCTGTGGTGGCCTCGATTTGGCCAGATTTCTCGCTTTATAACTTCAAAGACACGAAAATAATCAACATGTTTTTGCAGATTTTCTTAGTACATATCATTGAGCTGAAATTGGAAAAGTCTAAAAGACATTGAAAATGACCTTTTTTTTTTAATTGATTTTCAAAATAATTTTTATTTAGTAAAATGGCCCCATTTGAGCATTTCTCGTAAATTTCTCTGCTAACCAGGACAACAATATTTAGAGCAAAGATTAACAACATACAGGGTAACACCCTGGCAAAGTTTAAAAATCCTAGCATTTATAGACTTTAAAAAGAAAATCAAAATGGAGCATTATTGCGCAATGTGCTGTGTTTGAGACTTTTCTTTGCAAACTAATAACAATGATATTTCGTGGCAAATTTTTTTGGTCAATCTTCCCTTTGCATAATTTATCAGTAAATATTTGTAGACTCATAGACACAAAAGTTGTTTTGGGGAAGGTGCCCAAAATGCCAACTTTGCGCTATCTACAAAAAGCGCTTCGGACTGAGAATGTGTTCCTAAATTTTTTTTCTGCAGAACAAAAGTCGGTTGTGTTTTTCTGGTCATTGAGTCAACAAAATATTTTTCGTCAAAATTAAAAAATTGTCACCGAACATGGTCGGCTGGACTTATCTGAAAACACCCCAAAGACGAATGTTATTTTGTAATATATCAAGAAATAATCATCCAGAATTTAAAAACATTTGTTAGATGTATGCTAAATTCCTTGTACTACTTGAATGTTAGCAGCAAGCTGATGTGATATTGTTAAAAGCAGCATGTTTTTTTGTTTTTCTCAAGGAGGTGGAACCGTGTGTGGCATGCAGACTTTCTTGCTTTAAAGTGCCTCTCCAGCCAAAAATGGGGGTCTTTAGTTTCATATTAAAACCTTGTGACAGGTACCAGGACCTCCTCGTGGACTATCGAAAGAATGTTATTTTCCCGGGCCATTTTTTGTGTGCCGAGCATATTGCTCCCAAATGAAAAATCTCGGTTGAGGCCCTCTTCATACAAATGTTTGGAGTCTCTTATAATAGCTGGTGGATGTTACTTTCGCTATAGACTCTGTCTGATTTCCCAGGTCTCCAACACAATCCGGATACGCGTCTTCCCGGTAACTAATCGGGAGACCGCAGAAAATATGCAAGTTTGTCAAAACAAATTTATTTAAAAATGGTCACTCTACCCTAGAGACTCATTTACTCAGCGAAATGTTTCGGGCGAATATCGGTGATGCACAAACAGAGTATCCAGATATTCGGTTTGTGCATCACCGAATATCTGGATTTTCCTGGAGTTGCTCAAGGAAGAGCACGCACTAGCCGAAATGAAGTTAAGCCAAGCCGCAAACGGAGTAGTCTCCGAGGCAGCAAAAACCACGGTCAAGCGCCTTTAAGTAATTCTTCGACGCTACGACAGAACCAACAGCACAGACATCTTTCAGTCATGCACCTGAAACATTTCACTACGAGTAGATTCATCTATAGGGTAGAGTGACCTTTTTTGAATAAATTAGTTTTGACAAACTTGCATATTTGCCACTGTCTTACGATTATCTAGTTACCGGGATGACTCGTACCCGGATTGTGTTGGAGTCATGGGAAATCGGACAGCGTCGATTGCAAAAGGAACGGAAATTTGATTAGTTATTATAAGAGACTCCAAACATTTGTGTCATAAGAGCCTCACCCAAGGTTTTTTATTCGAGAGCATAATGCCTGACTGGGACTAGAAAAATGGCACTGGAAAACAAAGTTCTTTCAATAGTCTGATGAACTGTCAACGTGATGAATCTCCCTATGACGAAATGCCCTATGTGACAAACTGCCTTGCTATCAATTGACCTCCTACGAATGGTCTTTCGACGAACAGTCCTACAGCTGGTACAACAGTGATGCGATTACTGCGCCATTTCCGCCAAACTACGCCAAAGAGCTTACCCTGCTACGTCCTGCTATATTTAGCCCAAATGTGAGGAATTTGTGCCAACATTGCGCCAAAATTTGATTTAACTTTATTAGATACTGAAACTGATGCCCCACAACACGTCCGGATCGTTATGGTAGGCTTGTGCAAATTTTGAGAACTTTCAATTTTCGCCTCTGCAAATAACTACTATCCTATTTGATCTCTTTATCAGTGTCAAACACTGAAAGTACTCGGAATTTTCGCAATATTTCTTATGTTCATAGTCTACTCTGGCGTGTAAGTTAACTCTGTTGAGTGCGCTTCTCATCGCGATCTTGTGTACTGCAGTGAAGCAGTAACTGCGAGTAAGCATCGCAATTTTGCTTATCTTGCTTCGCCAGAGCGGGACATTAAATGTGCAAGCATTGGGTATATTAAAAAAAGGAATTTTGTAAGTGTTAATGTAACCGCCCTCAGTTGTAATAAAAAAACTTTGAATTGTACTGTGGCTATTTGCGGTACTCTAGCAATATCTTTTTCAAATTCGTTATTTAGCTCGCAAGAAAATTCATATGAGCTGCTCTATTGTTTTTTTTGTTTGAACTCCATTGTTTATTTGTCACCTTTATATATGTTTTATCCATTTGAGGTACAGTCAAGAGAATAAACAAACTATATTAGGTGAAGCACTAGAAGGAATCTTGGGGAATAACTTTTTTTTAAAGATTTGTTTTTAAATCTGGATAAATTTTTTTTATTATTAAATCTGGGTGAAGACTTTTTTTTAAAAATCTGGATAAAGAATTTTTGTTTTATTACAACCTTTAGAATTTAAATGAAACATCAATTTGTGTGCTCAAGATTCTTCTAACATAATTTTAGTGGAATATACAAGTTGGTTTCCATTTTATTTCATACCTAAAATGACTATTCACAGCAGTCCATACTGTCGTTCATCGATCAGCATCTTGTTGTCATGCCCAGAGCCGTAAATGTAGAGAGTTTGGCCATTCGTTGGGAAGTATAGGAGACAAATAAGGAGGCGCCATTGGCCGAAAGCGGGCTGGGCGTGTTCCAGGGCGTCTTCAGAAATTTGAATGTGACCAACCAGAACCCGGAAATAGTACCCTGGCGGTGGTCGCGAGAAACAAACCTGATAACTGCATTGGAGTAACTCTCAATGGCTGAAAATACGGTACACGTGATGTTTCAATCACTTTAATCCAAAATGATGGTGGAAGAGTGCGACTAGCGGAACGATCGACATGATTCGTACGCCAAGCGCCCAGGGCCGGGAATCTGCCGTCCGAACGGTCACACTTTGTCTGCGCAAAACAGAGTTGCGCGGTGCATTCGTTTCTTACATCCTTCTGCATGATCATGATCAAAACAACACGTGCACCCTATTTTCAACCACAAAGAGTTTCTACACTTCACGCTTATGCGCTTATTAAAACCATATACGAACATAGACATTTGATCAGAACTGTTTGCCGCTACCACCGCTAGGGGATTCTTTTCGGCTTCTGGTTGGTCAAGAGAGCATGCCAAGCCCTCTTTCCGACTCTGCCGCACGCCCCGACTCTGCCCGCACCTCCCATTGACCAAACTCTCTACATATACGGCTCTGGTCATGCCTAGTGCTTCCATGTGCAACGAAACAGCTAGTTCTGTGTTTAAGGAAACCGAACCTGCTGTTGCACAGAAGTGGGAAGGCAAAGCATGCACGTTTTTTTAGTTGGATAGGCCAACACACAAATCATTAACAGTGGCATGAATACAAATGAAGGGTGTGCTTGTGCTCCAAAAGTGCTTTTTGCTGCTCTATAATTGAATTTTGGTTGTTCCAAAAGGTGCTACAAAATGACTTGGGTCGATCACATTACGGGTACAAACATGAGGCAATTCGACATAGGCCCGCAAGACTCAGAGATAAGGTCACATGGTTGATTGTTTAGATTGTTAATGGTTGATTGTTAATAATGATATTAGTTTCTAGGCTATTCACAGTTTTGTCCTTTTTCACTTTTTGAAACTGAGTTCCCTGTTTAGTCATGTTGAATGAGTGCATGTATGTGCATTTATCACCACCAAAATGGGCCATTTCTTTTGTGCTGTGTTCCAAACTTGGTTGCTTACCTAAAAAAAGGAATTTGCAAGGTTTTCCTATATTGTTCTTATTTTTCTTTTCCGAGGGGAAATTACGAGCACCTCTTAAAGCTTGATAAAATAAAAAAAAGTATTGCATAAAACGTGAAGAAAATGGCAGATGTTTTTGTTATTGCCTTTGAAACTGACAGGAGAAAAGTGTAGCTCAATGAAGATATGGCAGATTAAAAGCAAACTCTGGTTTCCCAAAGAAGGTTGTCCGACAGAATGGGGATTCTGTGCTGAACAGTGTGCAAATTATGGCATGAAATGGACTCCTTGCAGGGCACTAGTGTCGAGCGAGGAACTGACAAACTACATGGCAGTACGGGTGTTCTTAGATGAGGACTTCTCCTGCATAGAAAAGTTTACGGTGAGCATTGCCAGGACACCTTTTGACTTTGCTGCTAAAGGAATGAGACGCTGCTAGGTGGTTGGGTGGTCCCTCAAATTTCTCGTGAATACCTACTTGCCTTTGTGGGGGAGAAGGAAGCAACGTGGAGCAGGTTTGAAGGTTTCCTCGCAATTTTTGACCCCTCTAGTTCAAGCTTAATCAAATGCAACCCATCAAGTTTTCTAAATATCTGTATTTATTGTACAGGCCATTTTTTTTAAGGCTTTACATTTCTTTTAAAAAAAGCCACGAAAGTTACACTAATATTGTCTGTGCAGGGGGTTGTACGGCCACGGGGACAAAATATAAAGTGATAATTGTCACAGTAAGTCGGTTAATTAACTAAGTTTTCCTTTACTAACTTTTTAATTGTTGGAGATAAAGATATGTTTCCAATCAGAAACTTGCTGAGGGTCATTGAAAACCAGTACTGAATAGGTGAATTTTAGAAATATTTCGGGCATGTGGGAAGAGCGGTGGTTCGACCACTGGTGCAACGGGCGCAAGGCTAGGGGTGCGAGCCCTCGCAGCTTTTTCCTCTTTTTATCATCCACCTTTTCGGACTGCCAGCATTGCACCCGTTGCAGGAGGGGTAACTTGAGTGCACCACGAAACTTACGAAGCTCCCCAAATCTTTTTTAAAATTTACCTTTTTAGTGGTTTTTAAAAACGCTCAACAAATTTCTAGTTTCAACCATGTTTATTTTCACTAGTTAAGAAGTTAATTAACTAATTTTAGTTCATTATCTGACTCATAGTGATAATTAGTCCCCTATATTATGTCTCTCTGGCCATATCACTAACCTGCACAGACCGCATTAGTCTAGCTCTCGCGGCTTTAAAAACACCCTGTATATTCATTTATGATTTATTTATTTATTTATTTCAAATACCCTCAAGGTAATACATTGAAGAGGGGAGTGGACATCAAAATAATAATTACAATGTGCACATGTTAGTTAGAACCCTCTTAAACAAAACAATCGCAGTAATGTTTAGCTATTGAGGCGAGAAGGTGGTTCCAGTCCGGTGATGTTTGGGGAATAAAAGAATATTGAAACAACAAAGTTTTAAAATTCGGCACTCCGACTTTATGACTATGATCAATGCAAGCAGAGATGTAGAATGATGGGATAATTAGTTTACGACGAAGGTCAGCATTTCAATGAAACATTTTATTGGAAAGACACAAACGAAAGATTTTACGGCGATGCATTAGTGATGGCAGGCCCAAAGATGTTTTCATGGCACAAACGCTGGCAGTGCGGTGATAGTTCGACATGATAGAACGGGCTCAACGGTTTTGGATGGATTCAATAAGGGAAATTAGTGAAGAGTGTGATGGGTCCCGCAGAGGCGGCAGCATATTCTAATTTTGGGCGGATTAAAGTTTTATATGGTTAGTTTCAGGGAGGACAGAGTGAGAAAGAAATTTCTTTTAAGGTATCCTAACATACGATTAGCATTGTTAATCACATATTCGACATGAAGTTTCCAAGAAAGGTTAGATGTTATATGAACACCAAGGTATTTGTAATTTGACACTGATGTGAGAGGCTTATTGTTAAGGTGATAAATGTGAGACAGAGATGAACCACGTGATCTCATAGTTTACATTTGTCAGTGTTTAGTTCCATGAGCCACTGGTTACACCATAATGATATCTGGTTAAGGTCCGATTGTAGAAGTAATGTGTCAGATATGTCGGTTATTTTTCTATATATTACGCAATTGTCAGCAAACAGGCAGATGGAAGAAGAGGTGTTCAGTACCAGGTCAATAATGTAAATAAGAAACAGTAGCGGGCCAAGCACGAAGCCCTGTGGAACATATGAATTGACTGGAACAGTGCGAGAATTGGTATTATTAGCAGTGATGAATTCTAGGTGGTAAGTTAAAAAGGCGTGGATCCATGTTAAGTATGCGCGAGTCGATATTAAGTGATCGCAATTTATGAAGTAATAGCTTGTGGGAAACTGTATCAAATGCTTTTGAAAAATATAAAAAGACAAAACAATCAGTTTCATATTGGTCATCAAGAGAGTGATGGAGATCATATGTGAAGGATATTTTCTAAAGCCATGTTGTGAAGTAGTAAAGAAGTCATTGGATTTAAGAAAGTTAACCAACTGCAAGTAAATGACGTGTTCAAAAATTTTGCAGGGTACACTGGTTAAAGAAATTGGGCGATAATTGAGCGGACTATCTTTTACACCAGATTTGTGTAGAGGAACCACCTTCCCAACTAACCAATCGCTCGGGAGTATGCCAAGGTTCAGCAGACTTTAGGCCTCGGCTTAGTGTACGTCAAAAGCGCCGAAACACATGAAGCATTGCACGCACGAAATCACAAGCTAAACTTTATTTGCAGGTGTGAAAGTGCTTAACACAGTGCGCTTTCTCTAAGGGCTCATGAACTTGTGGCTAAGTTTGCACTGTACTCATCAACTTCAGAGCCGTAACCAGGCTGTCTGAATGAAATGTTTGGATATTCTTTGGCTAGGTGTTTGGCATTTTGGGAAGCCCAAAAGTGCGGCCGCGAGGCTCGACGCTGATTGCTTTTGAGTGGGGCGGGAAGAGGCCATTGCAGTAAAAAATCGTTTGTGCCAGGTGGGAATTGAACCCAGAGCATTGAGATTATTAAGCGAGTGTCTATCAGCATGTCATGACACATCTCCTTGATTTGAGGCGCTACTTGGCGGGAAAGCCCTGCGATGCATCTGCTCTGCGTATGGCAGATAGCAATTTGACACACTGTCACATGTTTTTAAAACCCGGGTTAGCGTTGGTATCTCCATTCCAGGAATTGCTATCGAGTGTACATGCCATGCATCAAGCCAGTCACTAAACTAACTGATGAAGAGCGCCGAGAGCGTAGATGCCACATGTTTTATGTGCAACACAATTGCCCAGCAATTTGCTATGCATTTTTTTGTTCTTGTTTCAGTTTCGTTCCTTAGAAAAAAGTTCCGGTTCTGCTCCGGAACAAAAAACGTAATAATCTCTATCATCGCATGCAATTCAGAACTCAAATTAAAGAAGATAGCTAAGTATTTATTTTTATCACAAAGTAGGTCATTAAAAGCTCTAGCAAGTGTACACTGACAGTCGCCGACCAATTTTTCGGACACCGATATTTCGGACTTGTTTGGTATTTTGGACCTAAAGGGGGAACCGTGACCTACCCTATAGAAATAGTGCATAATCACGACCAATGTTTCGTACAGCTTAAAGTCCAAGAGTTTGATTTTTCCGACAAAATCGTTGCGACAGATCAGCGGGAAGCACCACTGGGAAGCCGCCATTTCAGATTCTATGTTGGCTGCACAGATTGGCTTGGTTTGGCAGCGCTTACTGCTAAGTCTTACCGCTAGATGACGCTAGCTACGGCTTTTGTTTCTCTAGCTGCGCGCTATTATCATTATCATTGTTACAATTTTGCTTTGATAATTCGCCATTCTGCAGTCGTGGACTTGCACCTCTCATCTTGTCTCGGTAAATTCTGTTTTTGGACTACGCTGGCTTGGATGTCATGGCCTCATCTGTTCTTCCACCGCCGCAAGGTGTCACTAAGAAGCATGGAAAGTACTCGACCATAACTCTAGAAAAGAAGGCAGCGATCCTCAAGCTAATAGAAAGTGGCCGAACAGAAACGCAGGCGTAACCTGAAACAAGGCGTGCAGGCGTAACCTGAAGCAAGGCACTATTGACAGCTTTTTTTAGCCTGCTTAGACGTAATAAAGGCAAGTTTTTTAATCTGCTGATTTTTCTAACTGCTCCATTATTCGGACGTTCTTTCAGTGCCTGCGAAGTCCGAAAAATCGGTCGGCGACTGTATTGCAACGATAGAAAATTGGGGTCATGGGTTCGATTCCCGTCGGGGCACATTTATAATTTTATTCTTCTCAATTAGAATTTCTTCTCAGTGATGTGTTCTTCTGTACAGACTGTGCTCTAAAGTAAACCCGCCGGCAATATGAAGGTGAACACTTTCCTTGGTTTCTTGCCTGTTTTACGGCTTCCTAAAGCTATATTAACTCTAAACGTCTCAAATGGTACGTGGCTTGGGGGTCTAAACTTTGCGTTCTAGCCATCCTCTGGAACAGAGCTTGTTCCAAAACTTGAAGGAGCGTCAAAATTAAAAATAGGGCTGTTCACCTTCATATCGCTCACAGGTGTACATGTTCGTAATGGTGTCCGTGGCGTCGCACTTTCCTCGGGGATCTTGAACTCACTCTGTGTTAATACTATAGTCCGTTGCAACCTAAGAACGAAGGGCGAGGGTAAGACGGGCCGGGGAGGAGGAAGCAGACGGAACGCTAAAGAGAGAGGGAGGTTTCCCCCTCTCTTCTCCAGCGTTCCGTCTGCTTCCTCCTCCCCGGCCCCACTTACCCCCGCCCTTCGTTCTTAGGTTGCAACAGACTATAGTAGCCTACCTATAGTGTTTTTTGTTTTTTTTTCCACTAACCTGAGTATAGAGGGGGGCCCATTAGCCTCTACAGCCCTTGTGCAAAGCTGCGACGCAGTGTCGCTTTCCAATTACCTTGATGCGCTTTCCCTCAACATGACCCTTGCCTTTATCACATTGCAGGCTTTAGGCAACTTGTACTTTGTTCACCAGTCACTCAAGAACCCCCAAATCTGGGATTTTCAGGGTATGTTGTAATTTGTCCAAGTTGGCTAAGAAACCTGTGGGAATTGACACTGCTATTTTTGTGGTTTTGCCTTCTCCTGCAGAGTGTCGTTTCCTGCCTGTCACGGGGGTGGAGGTGCACTCTGGAAACATAGAGAAAGTGTTGTCCAAAGAAAAAGTTAAATTCCCGCAGGAATTCTTTCCCGAGGTGAGGCGTCTTGCAGTAATTTCTTTCTAATGTGCTCTATAAATTGATCATTCCCCCCCATTGTTGTCAGGTGTGGTTTTTGGCCGAGCAAAGATAAACGCGGGGATTCTCAGACTGGGTTCCTAGAGACACGAGTGTTCCCCGTTGAAGAACTCTGTGCCCAGCACTCCCCATACTCCGTTCAGCCCTAGGCTGACAGCGCAGTGGAAGCTATGTGCTCGTTGAACCAGTCATGCGTTTATCTTCCGCCCATACCCACATGCTAAAAGGAAGGTAGTTGATTGGTCCGGCGAGCACGTAGCTCCCACCGCAGTGTCAACTTAGTGTTGAGCAGAGTATAGTACGGGCATGACTCCGTTAATCCCGAGACTGAAAGGGGTTCCTCGGCTCTGTCAAGGGAAGTGGGAAAGCACTTGCGCATTAGCGGATGTTGTTTCAAGTGCACATTCTATCATTTTTGCAAGTGAGTGGCCTCTTTGAGCCATGCGACAAGTTTGGGGAAATGCACTGAGCTGCTTCAGCTTCACGCAGTGTAGATGCATAAATACTTTATTCTCACATGTTTTGCGGATTGCATTCTTTCTATCGACTGTCAGGGAGCATGGGAATCGAGGAAGTGTCTCGACCTTCATATCTGCCCTAGAAATTATCTGAAAGATGGACAAGTTCCCCTTAATAATTGAAACCATTGATAGCTAAGTGTTTGATGAGACTCATTAGGCATAATACCAGCTGTGTTCAGGAAGAGCTATACTCCTCAATTCGACAGCTCTGGTATTTCTCCACCAAAACAATCGTAGGTTCAGTGCGAAGCTGACTCGACAGGCTCTAGTGGAACTGGGTCACGAGTGAGCATATTGTTAATGGAGCCTCACCCACTTCATCTTACAGTGCAAGTGGTCCAGGAAAGGTTTTATGAGGACAAGGTGGAGCCTGCATGGCACTGTATTTGATCTAATCAATATCCATTTGTTTCACGACGAGTCAAACTTCATAGCAATGGAATCTGTGAGTCTGGACCCAGCGTGGAGCTACCTGTGAGTGCACGGTTGGCACCGTTGAGTTCCTCTTGTTTTTCCTTTCAGTTTCCTTCTTTGTACACGAGAAACAGACAAGGTGCACTCGACTACACTCTGAACAGGTGAGTGGACCGCTCCTTTGCTGTCCCTTGCCCAGTCTATCTGCCTCGTGAAACTCGCAGGAGCCTCGCATACTGCGTTGCTTCTTGACTGTGGTCCAGTCACGTGCGTGACTTGCTTTGGAATTGCATTTGTTTCAAGGATACAAAACGACAAGTATGACAAAGTTCCCTTCTTTATCTTTGGAGACTTCAATTTTAGACTCGACACGCAAGCTGTCGTAGAGGTAACGCTCCTTCGTTCGGTCTTGCATGCCGCCGCCTTTTTCCCCAAAGCTTGCTTCACGCTTCCCGCCTGCCTTCGCACGTGCCCGCTTACGGCCACGGTGTCTTTCAGAAAATTACTCGAAAGGCTCCTCCGGTCCAGGTGAAGAGTGGCAAGAATGGGGACGTTACCAAAGTCTTGTTCAGGGACCCCAAAGATGAGAACCGGGTGAGCGGCGAGTCCTCGGGCACCTCTTTGCATCCCAAACTGCTGAGTTGTCTATTGTCACAAAGAACATTAAATTGGTAGTGAATGGGGAAGGGCTTACGAAAATATGCTGCTATCCTCTGTGCTTTCTTTGACACGTTTGCCAGCCTTGTCACTGAATTTTTTTGATGATACTATTGCAGAAAAAATCGGGGTGTTGTGCAGCACTCATTACACTGCCTACCATAGGTTGACACCTTTGTGTTATTTCTCCTGGCTCTTGCTAGGTCGTTCTCACAGTCGAACGCAAAGTGTTTTCTCTGCAAGACCATGAGGAAGCGTTTTCCAGGAACAATGGCAAATGGGCAAGTGGAGCTTGCTTTCTTTCGTCTCTATGCACTTGACTGAATCCTCTGCTTTCTCTTGCAGCTGCAAGAGCATGATAGAGAGCCGAGCTTATTCAAAGACCGCCTGTTTGAGTTTGACATTGCCTTCCCACCAAGGTAAGGAGTGAGCCAACTACAAAATTGAGCCGTAACCTCTACTATACTCCGTTTCACCTTCCGTCCGAGCACAGCGGACGCTAGGAGCCATCCCAGCCAATGCGGCGTTGAGGGAGTGTCATGCGACCTTGAGCTCCCTGTGTCGCCCCGTCCCACCGGCAGGTCACGCGACTTTCTCCCGGCGCTGGATCGGCTGGGATGGCTCGTGGCGTCCACTGCGCTCGGACTGAAGGTGAAACGGAGTATAGCCTTTCTCGTGGCATTGAGGTAGCTTCGAAACCAAAGCTCAGTATGTTGAATCATTTTCAGTTTGTTTAGGGGAGGACACTGGCTAGAGACTTAACTACTCAAGTGATCAGAATGAAGTTTGCAGGGGAGATTTAACATCAGATGTATGTGTATTGTGCAAACTTTGATCTCTCTAGGACAGTTTGACATACCTGCATAAGAAGATATGTCACTCTTCGTTAAGTAATTTATTATATGCAAATGAAGCTATTAAGCACCATTTTGACTGCTTTAATATAAAGTGGGGGATGTGGGACTTAGGGCTATCTAATTTTTATAAGTCAAATGTAAATATTTCAGGAAGAGTTATTACCTCAGAATATAATATTCATATCTGTCCTATGCAATTTTTGAAAACATAGTTTTTTCTCAATGAGGACTTGAACTTAAAGTAGATAGCCCGATTCCCCAGTAAATTTCATTTAAGTGACATCTTGATTGTGGTAGCACAATACTTTTACTTTCGAACAAAAGATTCCTTCGTTTGAAATTTGCAGCAAAAAGTGGAACTGAGAAAAATGCATTCAAACATTGAACTCCTTTACTTTGTTACTGCCTCGCTATGTGTTGAAAATATTTTATGTTGACGTAAATATTTGGTGTATGGTTATCAGATTTAGTGTAAGGGTGTATAATTAGTTTCTAAAACCGAAAACCTCAAATTTGAAAAACGAAGTTTTTTTATACAAATTTGAAATTTAGGCAAATGTCCTCCCTTAACGCTGTTGACACCTTATCACATAGAAGCCCATTTTAAGTAATGAGTACATCCAGGAATGAATAAGGAACATCCTCGTGGCATAGAAGGGTTTCCGCACAAAGTGTGTGCACAATCGCTTTGGAAAAGGCCTGTCCAAAGTTTTAAAAATGCTGGCCCTATGGAAATAACTGGTGGTTCCACTGAATGCCCCACTGGACTCGCGTGTGCAGCTACCCGTTCAAGGAAGACTGTTCCGGGGCCCACAGCTACATGCACACACGGTGCCCGGCTTGGTGCGACCGAATCCTCCTGAGCAAGGCAGCCAGGGCACTGGTGTACACGGTAAAAGCGCCTCGGGGCCTTGTGCGAAATGACATCTATTCTGCCGCAAAGGCCATGCGACGAGCACCCTCTGGGTGCATCGGGGTGAAAAAAGAACTTTATTGCAAGCTGTCTGCCTCTAACATATGCATTGGTGCCTTTTGCAAACGCTCGTGCCATCGGCAGAGGCAGGTTTAGCCGGGGAAAAGCGGGATCTGCCTTTGGTGGACGACTGGTGCCAATCAAGTGTCGCTGCAGGGCACGGACGAATCTGGGAAGCCCCCCGTGACTTACCAAGTGATGGGCGCTGATGTGTGCATGGGGGACCACAAGGTGAGTGCACCTCACTCACAGTCTCTCGAAATCAAATGGGAGGAAACACCTCAGGCACACGAGCCAAAGAATGTTACGGAATCCCAATTTTCTCAGCTCCTCGGTGCGCCTCAGTACGGCAGTGCCGTTGCACCCGAGTCGCAAAATGTGCCTTTATGGAAAAGCTTGGAAAGTTTTAGTTGTCTAAACCAAACCAGCTGTCATAGGAACGTGTGGCCTCATTGGTATCAGCTAGCTTCACTAAAACGATGGCATGCTCAACTATGTAATGACTTCTCTAGGGGTGGTCGTTTATTTGTAAAACATGAACCTTCTGTAACGAGAGGGCTTGTTTTCTTTTCAATGGCATGTGGTCTGGTATTCCATTTGCCCACATTAGCTGCTGTTTCCTCGATGGTTCAGCTGATAATTATACTTTGCTCTAGAGTAGTGGTTCCCAAATCGGGGTCCGTGAAAGCATTCTAGGGGTCCGCGAAGCCCACCTTCATCAGTCAAGCCCTGATAATAAAAGTTTAGATTGGGAAGAAACTTTCCAATTTTCGGGTGAGTTTTCTCGTGTGTATGTCATTGAGAAAAGTCTTCTTCACACTAGCCCTTAGGTATATTCATTTATTAAATCATTATCATAATTTTTCTCTTGCCCTCACCACGAACGGGATCCTCCATGATCTTTGCTGATTCACAAGGGGTCCGCAAAACATCAACGATTGAGAACCACTGCTCTAGAGTCTAGAGTCAAAAGCTTTCTCTCACCGGATGGTTGCTGATGTCGCAGGATACAGCCCTTTATCGCAGTTATCTCAGTTCAACCTTCTCGCTCGGAGCTTGTTATTTCACACTGTGCCTTAATTGGGTGTAAGGGGACGACTGAAGGTCAACTGGTCTAACTAGAACCCGCAGTTTCGATATTTGTGCAAGTTTGCATGCTTTTAGGTACGTCGCCAGATGTTCCAGACAAAACTAATGGCGAAGCCGGGGGTTTCCAAAACAGTTTTGGGATTCGTGAATGAACTGGAGCTTGCACAGTGAAGGTGGGCCTTCTGGCTCCAAACCACTATCTTCCAGTACACTTACATATCACATTGTGCAATATAAGTAAGGTTTTGGGTTTTCAGAGTTTATTTTTGCTCACATTTGGAGGGTGTTTTTTAGAGTTTATTTTTATCAGAATTTCAGCATTTGTCGGTGTCTAGTCCGTTAAATTTTGCATTTCGCTGAGATTCTAGATTTATTGGAGGTAATTTTTGTAACATTTCCACTTGTTTAAAATTGTTAATAAAAAGAAACAATATCCAGGTGCAAGTGCATTGAATCTATTTGAACTGTGAGCGTTGAAAAAAATCTGGAATCCCAACTTGCATGGCTCTCCAGAAAACACTTGCTTTTGCTCACTGCTGTTGGAGACTGGAAGAGCGGTTAGCACGCTTAGATTGGGACCGCATCCAGCCCCGAAGGGAGGAAGAGCCCACCGACACTGAATTTCCCGTTGCAGCCCGTGGCCCTGTACTTCCGCATGGCCCCCTCGGCTGCAGGTACGTTCCCAGCCAAAGACAAGGCGAGCGCCGGCGGGACGCAGTCGCCGAGGTTGCTTGGCGGCTGCCCCGCGTGCCACCTCCTCTGACTGCGCATGACCCATTGGCTGCATGATGTGAGTGCACTGCCGGGATCCCCCTCACATTGGCTTGCCCTTTTCTTGCCCGGTAACCTTGGTTTCATGCTTTCTTTTTTTTTCCTTCCAGCATTACATTTGCTTTGAGCGTGGTAGTTTGGAGTATTTTTCTTCGTGTCTAGGTGCATGACGCCTCTAGTCAACCGCCCAGTCAGAATAGGTTTGATGTGCCTCTTTGTGTTGGTGAGTTTTTCACTCTTATTCCCTTTTCTTACCCGTTGAATTGTGGATTTGTTGGTGCATACTAGTTGCAGCAGACGCTGATGTGGCATCTTTTGAGTGCATGCACGACGCGTGCTCATTTGTACAAGCACCGGAGCAAAACGTGAATGTGCAAAAGTTAGGTGATACTAGTAGAATTTTTTTTTTTTTTTTTACTTTTGCTTGTGATTTTTGGGTGTATGCACAGGATACTTTTGCACCATCTATTTTATTGGGCTTTGTTCAGCAATGCGCTAACTTGGCGGAATAATGTTCTCTTGACAAGGCTGTTAGCTGCAGTATCCTAATTTTAACTTTCAGGGGTGTCAGTATCTAAAGCATCTACACTCTGCGACACTGTTAGCGTGAACAAGTCGTCACCGGTATTCTCTGTCTTTCTCAGTATTGAAGGACTGTCATCAAAACTACCAAGGTGGTGAAAAGTGCTCAGTTGTGGTCCTAACCTAAGTGGTACATTTTGATGCCTGCCAGTACCCTTTCGAAATAAAATGTAAAAAAGTGCCCAAATAATGTTTGCTCTAACAGTCTCGTGCAGTGTACTATCTTAGTAACAGTTAGAGGGAACACGTGGCATCAAGCACTATCAGAACACCCTAACAACCTGGCGCGCAACTGCACCACATGCGCTTCGCTCGTGCGACGAGAGAAAAGTTTAATTGTGCGCATCATTGGAGTGCCTGCGCATTGTCTGCTGCCCGCGTCCTACTGCAGCTAGTAAAGAGTTTGCCATATCCAAAGGGCGACGAGCTGTAAAATGAAAGCTGCATCAGTGTGCACCTTTGCTGCCCCTTGCTTCAATGTTTATTCGTGCAAATAATGTGTTCTTGACACAGGTAAATGCTCCTCTAAATGGTGGCTGTCTGTATTACGATTGCCTTATGGCCCATGAAACTTGCCTTTCTGGCTGTGAAAGCAGGTGTTCATATTGTTAGGGCAATACGAGAGCTTGCTGCAGTCGAATGATGTGATGACGAGGTTGTGGAATGAGTACCGAATAAGAACAATGCAAACGTCAATTTTAAAGCAAAACTGAATCAAAACACTTAAAGCTGCTGCCTGCACAGTCTAAGTAAATGGTATCCTTGCAATCAACTCGGTAACGGGTCAATTCTCCGTTTACGTCAATGACAGCTGCCATCCTTGATGGCAGCGAGTCGTACAGAGAAGGCACGAAAAATGTGTCTGCCCTGAGGCGTTCCCATTCTGTGAGAACTGCAACCCAGGACACTGGTCTGACGTTGCCGAATGAGCTGGCATCCGCACCGTGAACGCCTTCCTCCGGCCCCACTTGTTCTCAATGGTGTTGTGGTCTGCGCCTCTGTGCCGTGTGTACAGGAGCGAGGATGTCCGAGATAAGACGACTGCAGAGGCAGGGTCCATCACGTTGCAGTAGCGGGTCGGCCTCATGGCGGTTCAGGGGACTGAGGCCGTGTTTGGAGACGGCGACAAATGTCCTCCCAGCGATGCACGTAGGCAGGATCGTTCCTGCAGGAGTGCGTCGATTGTAGTTGTGCACTGTCACACTAGGTGTCCAGCAGTGCGCAAAAATGAGGCACAGAAGATGAGGAGCGAAGACGATCGCAACTAGACAGGTGAGCTCAGAGTATCGAAAAACAAAGAACAATGTAATTAGCATTTACCAAGGAACGGTACCTAGCAAACATACCATATCTTCTCCAATCTATGCCAATAGTTGTTTTCGGTTTAAAATGGAAACTGAAACTCGGGGGTTGGCTTAGAAACAAGGACAAGGTTCCGGCTTTACACTACTTCTGACATGAGTAATTCTCTACCACTTATTTTTCGGGGACCCTCTGGATTGGGGAAAGTGATGGGGACCCTATCCACCTGGGAGGAGGGGGAGGATAATACTTTAAAGCACTGAAACAGACTAACCAACCCTACTCACTCGGTGCACATGTAAAACAGCCAGCATTAATTTCTTTTTTTTTTTTTTTTTAAATTACTTATTTGAGGGCTTTGCAGGTTCTAAGAAGGCCCTCGGGATCCCCCAAGGGTCCGCGAGCCCCCTTTTGAGAACCACTGCCCTACGCCATCTTGCGGCTGTGTCCCGGAACTCGCCCTCGACGCGCTCTCGACGCTATCATGAACTATTCACGTCATATGCTTGGGAAGGCTGTTCAGTGAATGGTATGGTACCACAAACACCGTGCACCTCGCACCAGTTTTAACATTTTTGCGCAAGGTCGTGGTTTGTTTCCCGCCTGTCACGATGACGCCGACCAGTCGACCCCATTACACTGCGGCTTTCAATGAAAAGCCGTTTTGGCAGCGGAGCGATCAACAAAGGCCCAGCAAAGCTTTGGTGTGGATGAAAAGAATGTGCGTCGTTGGAGGAAACGACGTTCTCAACTGTTTGACATGACAAGGATGACATTCTCAGTACCTCGGAGAGGTCCACATCTGGAAATAGAAACCGAGGTTGCAAGCTTCATCAGAACTTGTGACCACAGAAATCATTCGAGCAAAAGCGAGTGAAGTTACGAAGGTGCAAGGCATGCTCTGAACGGAGTTCAAAGCCGGGGCTGGGTCCAAAGGTTCATAAAGCGATTTGGGTTTAGTCTGTGGCGGCAAATGTCACATTGCCAGAAACTTCAGTGACAAAGAATCGAGTGATTATGGCGGTTTGAACATTTTCGCGAGTTTTCTGCATCGGAATAAATATTATTCCATTTTTAATTGGTGCTTTCGTCTTTTTGATCAAGTGACAATCGAGGATATTTTTTTAAAAAATGTTTTTCTTTCAATTTTTAGGAGTCGGCCTAGAATCGATGCCGGCCTACATTCGAATAAATATGGTAAGAGAATTTATCGGTTATGAAACTACAGCCTTTTATTGAACAAAATCGCAACTCACAGAGTGACGAGTGCTAAGTGAGAAGGCCAACGAAAGATGACACGTTTGCACAGTGCAAACAATGGATCTGGAACAGGTGGCGGATTGAAGCAAGGCTTGGGGTGCGGCACAATCGAGGTAGTCACGCGCGCATTGGCCTCATGGATAACATGGACTCGTCCGAGAAGACCAGCCAGTCGTTGGCCGTCCATGACGCATGCCCAACTGGAAAGCTAAGTGCTTCGTTTGAAGCTGCGGGGCATGGCCATGGCGCCATAGGGACTGGCGCTTTTTGTCGTGCGACTGGCTGTCGGAGATTTCAACGGGCTTCTCGGGCAGAAAGAAAAGAGGTTCTTGGTCGTCGCTCTTGGTGGACACCCCCAGGCACATCGTGAATGTGACCTTCATATCAAAAAGCTTCAACGATGCGGTTGACGGTCCCCAGAGGCCTATTTACAAGAGCCCCGATGGCCCGCTGTAAGTGCCCTTTTCGGGCGATCTCAATTATTTTCCAGAACTCTGACCGTGACGACGTGCAGCAGTCGTTCTGACGGCAGTGCTAGGGCGAGCAACTTTATACCTTTCTCAAGTGCACTGGATGCCACTGTTCCTTCATCCTTTCAATAAAATATAGGAAACAAAAATTGGATATGCCACTGTTGCATGTATGGCTTTGGGTTGATAATTTTGTCTACATGCAGTTTCATCTTGCAGCTTCCACGCGAGATTCTGCACATAGCAGATGACGCAATGTGTATGATGAGAGTGTGTTCTCGCCCTATGCGCATGCACTGTAAGTCACGCCAGGCCTTTGGAGTGCTCTGATAATGCCCTATGACATGCGCCCTTGTGTTCCTTCTAACTAACCGAACAAATTGTGATTAATATAGCATATATGGCCAAATCAACAAGACCACTCTTTTCTGCCCATAGCTTCATTAAAGGGCAACTCCGCTTCATTTTTGGTTTTGAAAAAACAATGCAGTCCTCTTCAGTATCGCGTAGGAAGACCACACGTCAAATATTACGACGCAGTTCTGTCTAAATGTTTCTTAAACGGTCCGGCAAACTTTGCAACTCGCCAAGTTGCCGAAATCGGCTGACTCGAGCGGGCAAATTCAGGCGCAACCAACAGCGCAGTCAAGGCTACGGCATGGGCGGAGCCAACATTGAGCTAAACGTCATCATCATGGCCCCCTTTTGCTTGTTTTTACTTCTCCGATCGAGTGTAGCGCATGACGTCAGCAACGTTGCCTCTCGGTGCTCAGCGGTGTCCACATGATTGGCGTACGCGCCTGCGCAGCGCGCTTCTTGGGAGCAGACCAACCGCCCGCCATGGTCCCGCCGTTACCGCCGTCTTCCGCGTCACAACCACCGTCGTTGTCTCACCGTTTGTGATTATTGCTTCTCGGAGTTTCGTCCACACTATGGACACCACGTGCACAGAGTCGCAGACTTATGCTGCAGTTGTGCAGACGTTGTCGATTGCCGTAGACACCAAAACGTGGCGAAGAGTGCGGTGCAGACAACACTCGCGCCTGCCGCACGCTCGCCCCCATCCCGCCCGTCATTGGGCCAAGGATCACGTGACATCTCGTACCGCGTGATGGCCATGTATTTGGCGGCCCGAGGCCAATGTTGCCGGACGCAGCCGAAGTTTCGGTTTCGATTTCCGCTCATGTTTAAAATTAGATTTAAAAATATATATCCCATTTTTCGCAAAGCAAACGGCGTAGTGTCTTTTACTAGGGCTTTTTAATTCGAAATCACTCATTATCCCGAAATCTTCGGAATTGAGTGGAGTTGCCCTTTAAGGTGGCCTGTTTTTACTGTTTTTTTTTCTGTATTGCCTAGTTTTATATTGCCTAGTTAAGAATCCTGTGGGTTTAGCTGACTCCCTGCGTGGATCTTTGCAGAGTTATAATCTCATGCAACAATTTGGGAACGGTACTACTAGGGTGGTTTCATTTGAAATTGAATGCATGTCAGGGTGAATATTTTGATTTGCCTCAAATAAATATATATACAATAGCCCCATTTCTATAATTAAAAAAGGCACTCTATTTTTTTTTTTAGAAAACTTTTTTTTACAAACTTTTTTAAG